CCTTGAAGGTCACGTCAAAAAGAAAAAGGCCCAGGGTCTGCGTGGGATGCCTTTTGTGGTCATAAGGTCGCTCAGGCTCTTCCACGCCCTGCAGGACTATCGCCTGGAAAGAGGCCCACAAAAGCCAACCCCCAAATTACAACTGAGGCCCGTCCAGGCGGCGGCTCGAAACCCCCTCGATGCTCCTCCGTCCAGCCCTGCCAAACCTTTACAGAGACTGCCAGGAACCAAAGCCTTTTCTATTCTTCACGTGGTGGCATCGGGGGGGGGGGACCAAGAACTTTGCTTTGTCTCCCCCTGGGGTGCAGCTGGGCAGGAACCGGGCAGCTTTCCATGGACCCATGAAGAGAAGTACGTTCTCCTCTCCGTGGATCCGGACCAACGCCGGCAGCTCCTTTTCCACCTCCAGGTGATACTTTGTGGGAGGAACCTTAGGCTCAGTCCACACTAGAGAAGTACAGTTTAAAGAAATAAAAATGAACTGGAAACATACTGTTGAAATAACGTCAAGGACATAAATGATGAACTTATACCTGGCTCAGTTGACCTTTGAGCAGCAGGGACATGGGCAGCTGAGCTAAGTGTTGGACCGATCCCAATCTGAAATTAAATAAAACCTTTACAAACAATCCATCTGTAGTTAATACGTAAATGGATCTTAGGGGTTTGGGGGATTGTTAGGTTGACTATAAGGAGAAACCAATTTTCTTAGTAGAAGAAAGCATCTTCAAGCCAGAGCCTCAACTGCCATTTTGTTGAGAACGCTCTAAATTTCTGTATCAAATAGGAGGTTGGATTGGAGAATATCCTCCAACTGTATGGCCTGAATCCAACCGGTCGTTCGAGCTAGAAGAGACATTGATTAAAATGTATGTAACTGTCAACAAACGAATCACCTGGCGAGTTTGCCTTACAGGTATTGAAAGATGTGACACTTCATAAAAATCTTGTATTCAGCCTAATTGTTAGGAAAATGGCATAATAGTTCTATAACAACATGGCAAGTATCATGGCGTGCCAAACGAGTGTGCAGAGTCATCTGGAGTACTTATTGGAGTTGCATTCCCAACCATTGTGTTGCCTCTTGACCTGCTGTTACTTGCATTTGTTTAACATTCAGTCATCCTTCATGGAACGTTTCCTACCCTCTGGCATTTAGCTGGCCTTATAGATGAGTGCAGGGAAATCGCCCCAGAGGGAGACCACAGCTGCGATACAAGGACATCTGCAAGCGGGATCTGAAGGCTTTAAGAATGGACCTCAACAGATGGGAAACTGACATCTGACCGCTCAGCCTGGAGGCAGGCGGTGCATCACAGCCTCTCCCATTTTGAAGAGACCCTTGTCCAGCAGGCGAGGCAGAGGCAGTCCCGAAACCAGCCAAATCAGGGAGCTGGACGGGACAGATTGTCTTTGTCTTCAGTGTGGAAGAGATTGTCACTCTTAAATTGGCCTTCTCAGCCACACTAGACGCTGTTCCAAGACCTCCATGCAGAGCACGTTACCATCGTCTCTCAAGACTGAAGGATGCCTAACTAATGATGATTGCCTATTTGGCATTCATCTTTGTGATTTGGGACAGCAGCTTCCAAAAGAGGAGACATGGCATGTCGTCCAAAAACTGTAAGATTCACACCTCAAGGAGAGTATACACACCTCTCATTCTTGATGCTTTATCCTCAGAGCAACCCTAGGAGGCAAAGACAGCAGATTTGGTTGGAGGATACCACCTGAGTTTCATAGGCAAGGGAGGATTTGAACCCAGGTCTCTGGAGTCTTTGTCCAGCATCCGAACCGGCACACCAGACTGGATTTTAGACATCATCCCTGGAAGAGGGGGGCACTCAAGCCAAAAGAAAGATCAAGACACGTTTTATTTTATTTTATCTTATCTGCAGTTACTTTTCCCAGTGGGAGACTGACCCCTGGCTTGCTTTTCTTTGCCTGGGAAAAATCTGTGCCATGGATTGTGCCAAGAGAGAGCTGGCCTGTTTTTTTGCTGAATGAATAAGAAGGCGCTCTCTCCACCTCCCTCTTAACGACCATGTTTCTCAGCCCTTCCGTTTTTGTGCTGAGTTGGTGCTCCCCCACCAGTCTGGAATGGAACACTTCTGAGCATCTTGGACGGATGAGAGAGAGGGCAGAAGGGTCGGGAGACACCCTCAATTTCCCAGGAGAGAGGGAGGGAATCCATCAAAACAGGCATGCGTCTTTGTGTGTGTATGTGTGCTGGGAGGGGAGGGCGGGCGGAAAGTGTTCTAAGATTCAGGCAGTGTCGGTTTCCCTTCTCAGTCCTCCCCTTCGAAGGCAGCGAAGTGGAAAGAGAGAGAGAGAGAGCCAGAAATGCAAAACCTCCAGGGGATTCGCTCTGATCCATGCTGATGTAAGAGTGAGATGCCCACTGGCATTATTGAAGGCAGAAAACTGTGGGATCGCTCAGTGGCTGAGGCATGCGGCTGTCGATCCAGGGAATTGGGAGTTCGAATTCCCCCACTGGGCCTCCTTATCAGGGATCCGAAGGGTCCCTTCCAGCTCTGCCGTTCTGAGGCTGTTCCGATGATTTTGCAGCCCGAGGGGTCACTCCAGGGTTTTATCAGAAGAGAGTAAGTCATGGTGGAAATGCCATCACTGTTTCCCGTTCTTCAAGTTGCCCAACACATTTTGCTGCCGCTGGCACCTGCCCGAGCCACTTGACTTGAGCTGCAAGGAGGACTCGGATCATACCAGCCAAGTTCATTTGGCGCTTGATGTTGTGAACCCTTCAAGTCCTTTTCCTGCCCTTTGTAGCTATGTGCCGAAGGAATTCTCTGCAGGCTTTCAGGACCAGCTGCCTGCGCTGGGTTCTCCTCTCCCTGACAGCAGGGCCGTCCCTGTCAAGAAGGCGGCAGAGTTTCTTTCCACGCAGTCTCTAAAGGGTGTGTCAGATTTATTTTGTGGCAGTCTCGCAACCTAAAAGGGGCACGATGTGAAAGGAAAAAGGGATGAGGAGGGAGAAGGAGAGGAAGCCACTGACTGCACATTAAATCTTGCAGCAAGGTGGGTGGGGACATCACCACTTCCCGTTTCAAATTCCTATCTTGCCAAGGTGGGCTAAGTGCAGGCTTCCAGCAGCACGTCTGGACTCCAGCTCCCATCAGCCCCAGACAAGGGATAATGGGAGGTGCAGCCAAAGAACTCTGCTGCCAGGTTCAAGTGGGGAGCAAAACTGGGGAAGTCATATTTCCGGAGCACGGTTCCCAGATTCCTGCAGCTAACAGGGTCGCTCGCCGTCCTGACCCAGAGATTGGAGGAGGTACGCTCCAAAAGGGAAAATAACTTTAGAAACCCGTTAGGGAGTCAAAGGATAGTTACAGTGTGTTGCCATGAATTTGGCGGAGAAAAAAAAAAGCTGGGATACGAATGTAACTTGACAAGGAAATAATAAATACAATAATGGGGACATGCAGCCGATTTTTTAAAAAAGCATTGGATTTGAGTACAGAATTAGGATCTTATTAAGCACATCCTGCAGGAGGAGAGGGTCCTCTTGATTTCAGCCAAGGGAAGTAGCTGCACGATGGAACTTCTTCGCTGAGATTCGGCAGGGCCGGCAAGGAGAGAATTGGCTACAGCCCAATGGTAAATCCTAAGCCACACTCTTGACTTCTATGGGACGAAGGATAGAAAGCTAATATGAGAAGCATGCCTACGACATTGGGCGTTGAAGCAGTTTTTCCCAACTGGCTTCTCTCCCAGACCTACTGGATTACGGATCCCAGTATTCCCAATCTGAATAGCTAACCAAGCCTGGTGGAGATGATGAAACACGTCATTCACCCAGTAATGTAGTGGTAAATTTGGACGTGCAGGTGCACATTGTAACCGTCTGTGCAGGCGGTCCCATTCCTAAGAGGAGGGTGAAAAGTCAGGTTGGTGGGCCGGTATGTATCAGCAAAGGAGGAGCAGGTCTTTTGTTGACCTAATGGCTCTTAATTGCCTATTCAAGACCGAGTATTTTGCAGAAACCCAGGGAGAGACTGGGAAAACCCATTCTAGCTGCAATTCATGGTTGCAGTTAAGCTGAGGGAAAGCTGGTGGTGTCTCCAGGGGGAGGGAGCTTACACCTAGGTCCTATTTGCACTCTTAGTCAGGGCTAAGCACCGTCAAACCTAGTGAGGCTTACTTGTGAGTAAACACAGATGACCTAACCTGCGGGGTTGCAGGTGCCCCGCCGCGACATTTCAAACCTGGGGAGTGGAGAGAGGCGGGATCCCCTTTTCCTGTGGAGGGGAGTTCCTCTGGAAATCTTGCCAGAAGACCCCCTCCTGCCCTCCCCGTGCCGCTGCTCCCCCGTCACCCCCGCCCGGACCCCAGGACCCGTGTGGCCACATTCAGACCCGCCGCTCTTTGAACTGTGTGAGCCAGAAGTGGGCACGGGAAGGATATTTATAGCGATCGTCCGGACTGCCCGATCCGAGAGGCGACGAAACAGGTTGCTTTTGGCCATTTGGAGCTGCTGGAGGGGGGGGGCGAGAGATAAATCCCTCTCTCCTCCCTCCCTCCCTCCCTCCCTCTCTCTCTTTAGCCTTAATCATCTTGTTATTTCACGGTCACCGCACACACACACACGCGCATGCACACACTCACACGCGTTCCTTTCCATTCACAACACATTTGCACACTTGCTTGTGTGGGTTTGCTGTTCACGTTGTGGTCGCACAAATGATCATTTGGGATGGATGTGTGCTACCTCTCCCCACGAGTCTTTTCCTATCACTTCCATGCCTTTACATTACGGACATGCAGCAAGATTTCAGCCACAGCCAATATGTGTCAGGTTTGTACGTTTGAATTTTTTCTGTAGTTCCAAGGGCCTTCATTGATCATCGTAATGAGGGAATGTTGCTGCTGGTTAGTTGTGACAACAGTGCCAACAACTATGATTCCTTAGTAAGGAACTGTATGCAAGTGAATGCCATTGAACAGCCCCCGCCGGCCCCACTTTATATGCCTGGAAAGATTCTGGAGACCTGATGCTGACGCTCCTCCTCCTCCTCCTCCTCCTCCTCCCTCTCCTCGGGCTCAGCTCCATCCTTTGACTGCCACTTTGCTACTCTCGCCTCCCCCTCCTCCCTCTCCCTCTCCCTCTCCCTCCTTCATCAGCACCAACCCTGGATTCTGATGGACCTCCCAAGATGTTCATGTCCAGCTTCCTGGACTTCCAGAAGACCCGATACGCCAGGTAAAGTTTGGGAAGATTCGAACCTGGGGTGCTGGGACGGATGGCGGCTCTCCTCGGTCCTGGAGCTCAGCCCCCCCTTCTTCTTTTGCTTCCTTTGAAAGTCGGGTGGGGGGTGGGGGGGTGGCTTACTCGCGGGGAGACAGGTCGAGGGATGGACCCAGAGGGAGGGTTCTTTCTTTGCCATTATTTTTTTAAAAACACACGAGATGGGAATCTGCCGCTGTCTCTTGTGAAAGCGGAGTGGGACTTACTCCCGAGTAGACGTGTCTAGGAGGAGGAGGGCGGGTTACAGGGTCTCACAATGGTGGGTCGCGGGGAAAGCCCAAGTATGTTTACGCGGGAGTAATCCGGGCTCTGTTCAGTGGCATGGACGGATCAGGGCAGGTTTTTTGGGATCCCAGCTTTCCAGGATGCAGAGATTCCATGTTAGCTTGTTGATTTCTCCTGTTCCCGTCCTGCTTTGCTTCGAAGCCATCCTACCTGGCCCTCTTCCTGACAGCCCTGTGGAGGGAGGTCGATCTCGCTGCTCTGCCCTCCACACAACAGTCTTGTAAGGTGGCTCTCATGCGCCATCAAGGCAACCTGAACTTAAGGCAACCCGGTGGCTGCACAGTCTCCCCAAGGTCCTAGTCCTCAAGAGCCCTGCTCATCTTTTCCAAACCCAAGCCTGTGGCTTCCTTTAGGGAGTCGATCCATGTCGGCTTGGGTCTTCCTCTTCTCCTGCTGGCAAGGTTATTATAAGGCTATGGAGAATGCCAGGAGGAGGAAAATGGCAGATGACCTGAGAAAGTGGCTTTGGGGAGTCCCCTTTAGGAAGGTGACCACAAGAGCTGGAATTTCCCTTCAACTGTTCTCTGTGCTGTTTTGTGGGCTAGAGATCATGCCTCTGCTCCTTCTTTTTTGGTCCGCTCTGTCACAGGCCTGTGTTATTCGGGAAGGAGAAAGAGTGCCTGTCACGTAAGATCAAACCGAAAGAGAATCCCATCGTGCCGGGGAAACAGGTGTGATCGGAAACAGGGGCTTTGTGCTTTTCAGAGTTGTGGAGGTCTCCCCTTTTTCTCGCTCCTGCGAAAGCCAAACAGGAAACTGTTAGGGCAGCAGCCTCAAAATTACCCGTCCGTTGGTTTCATTGGTCAAAAGGGGTCGTATATAAAGCATGCTGAACTGGGGCACCGCGTTTTCTTGATGTTAACTTTTGACGTGGGTTAAAATAGCCGATGAAAGACACGAGATCGGGAAAGTGCATCGCTGAGACAGCATAGCCTTTTGGGCTTGCTACAAGTCCCCCTTCTTTCTCTCTTTGGGGCAGATTGGAAAAGATTCCTAAAGAGAGAGGGAGGGAGGGAGGGAGAAGGGCAGAGAAACAGACGGACGGACAGACTCTAGCATTCACCGCTGTAGATAATCGACTTGGTCAAATAAAGCTTCCTGTGTTCCTATGGAGACAATTTGGTTTGGTCCTTCACAGATCTTGCCTCCGATTTCCCACATTTGGCTGTTATTCCAAGTTTGAACATGTTACGGTTGAGTGATAGCTCCGTTTTACAAGAAAGAGCGCGCAGGAGGGTAAATAGGAAAGGGTCGGTTTGAAAGTCCTCCCGGTCGGCTCCACATCCCCGTAAGGAGAGCCACAATATCCAGGCTGCTGGTTTAATCCATGTGAACAAAGGACAGGCAGGTCTTTTGTAAGGTTAATGCCCTTCACCATATAGCTTCTTTCCAAGCTGTCCTTCCCCCGTTTCTTTGGGGGAAAAAACACCTTTTCCAAGATGGTGGTTGTTTGGTTTATGCAGGCACTCTGGAAACACAAACATCGTATGCCTCTTCCTCCTTTCAAAGTTGTTGCTTTTCTTCCTCTTCCTCCTCCTCCTCCTCTTCTTCATCATCATCTTAGAACGGCAGAGCTGGAAGGGACCCTATTTGTGTGGACAATAAGTGGGAACGCCGACCTTCTGTGGTTGTCCACAGGTCCTTGGGTTTCACCTCCCATCAGCCGTAGCTGGGAGAGGCAGGAGTGAAGGATGATGGGAACTACTGTACAGGTCATAATATCTACCAACCCATAAGGTCCTGTTCCATGCTGTTGCTGTTGGGAACTGAGCCTTGGCCCCAAAAGCTGGAGGATCCTAAGGCAGCTTCCATAATGCTGGCCCTCCCTTGCTATTATCGTACCTGTGGATCTTCTTACCTTCTGCTAGAGAGAGTGTTGTGTCCAGAGGGAGTGAAGCAAAGGCACATGGAGCACAGCAGGTGAAGGCCGTGAACCTGATTCTTGCTTTACGCCCCTGCTCACTACAGAGGCAGTCCAGGACATTCGGCGGCCTGAGGAGCAGCAGCAAATGGCATCGCTTCTGCTCCCCTCCCCGCCCCACCAAAAAATAAGGTACATCGTGCATAAGCCTGGCCAAATTAAATGGGCCATCAAACTCTTAATTTACCTGCACGGGCACTAAAATCATGGCCTCCCTCCCCCAATATTTGAGATTTAATTTCCAGGCAACCTGGAAATTGGGAGACACCTTGAAGAAGCCTGATGCTGTGGAACTGCATTTGATGTTTTATTATTGTCCACCAACTCCGCTCACAAATTGTAGGCCAGTGATGCTGATGTTGCAGGTGAGTGTGTATGACGCTTCCCCTCTGAAGGCAGAACTTTGCAAGATCTCTCCAAGGTGCTGATCTGAGCTCCTGTGAGGTTCCAACTGCGCACCAGAACAGATTCACACAGACAAGACTGCAGTCACCAACTTTCATTACAAACATGGGCTAAAACAGGGACAATGACTTTTCCCCCCAAGGAACTCTAGACTGGGAGAGGGCCTCCCTGAAACTTCCGAGTCTCACATCAATGTGAATGAAAGCCATGATAGCTGAGCATCTTTGTGATACTTAGATTAAAGGAAAGCCAGCCTTCCTATCAGCTTGAGGTGAAAGATTTGGGTACTATAAATTGGCAGCTTCTTAATTATTTGCTTTGCTCTTCTTTGGTTTTCCCTGCCAGGAGCCTGGTAAAATGCTTGCCAAATATTGTTCCTTGTATATTGGTGTAATGTGAGTGCTTTGGGGTAATATGGTGGGGATGTGAGTTTTTTTGCTTCTGCATCTCTCAGGTAGCAAAATTTGTTGGGTCAACCCTGAGCCATTAGCCTTGCTATCAAATGGGTTCAGCTTATACTTGGCTGGCATTGGTATGAATGAACTCAACACACAGACCTCCATGAACCTACCAGGTTTCCCGCGTGCCTCTGGGTTCATTCTGCCCCCTCATCCTTGTTTTCTATGCTGAGCTAGAAGGTGTAACTTGGTGGATTCCAACCAGGTCAGCGGGCGACGGTTTCCAGAGTTAGCAGGCTGACGTTAGGCCAGACACATACAAATTACGCAGGGCTAGAATTTCAGGCAGAGGTGTCTGGGAGCTGTGTCCAATTCAGGCGGTTGTGGTTTGGGACACCCACTGCAATGAAGCACAAGTGTATGTGTGCATTATGCACATGTATGTTCCTATCAGATATATATTAGGGTTGTGCATGGGTTCTCTGATTCCATTTAGTGGCCGGTTTGGGCTTTGTAGTGTATCACAATTTAGTCCAGAGTGATCTGTGTCCCGTGCCATTCAGTTGGCGTCCTGGATACCCGAGGGATCTTTATGAAGTTGTTGCACTGAAAACCCAAAAGGGACACAACTTTTATAGCTCTCCACAGATGTGCATTCAACTGGGGGACATGATAAACCATAAAGAGAGGCATACGCCTGCGGGATTTCCCGAGGATTGTTTGCTTCCTGAAGATAAGGAGGGCTGGGGGCCAGGCACACCTCCACCAGAAGAAAGTTCCATAGTGAGCTCGCTACCACTGAAAAAGCCTGGTTTCTAGTTGTTGATTTCTAGGCATCCCTTGGGGTGGCCACCTGCAAGATCAAAAATGGGGGGGGTAGATCTAAGGGAGAGGTGCTCTGTCAGATAGTAAGGTCCAAAACCATATGGGGCTTTATAAATTAACATTAGCATCATGAACTTGGCCTGGAGGCCAGGGCACATCGATGTGGGTGATTTTTTGATTGCGCAATCATCGTTAGAAGCCTCATTGAGCGTGGGTAGGATCGCTGTGTGTCTTATTAAGGGACTCTCTAATATTTGGGTATGTCTTCTCTTGGAAAGACTGTCCAGAATAATCATTTAAACCAGGGGTGTCCAACCATTCACCTTCCCTGGACCACATTAGAAGATGAAAATTTGGTTTGGGCCGCACATACATTTGGTTTGGGCCGCATGGGGGGGCAGCCCTATGGGGCCGGGAGGGGGTCCACCTATTGACGGGGATGGCACAATGCAGTCACACAGCCCCCCTGTCCCCTCCCCTCCCACTCCTTCCTTCCCTCTCTCCCCCTTGACTGTTGTGACATCCCCGGCCACATTCCAGCCGCAAGCGCCGGCCCTCTCTCCCCCTCGACTGTTGTGACATACCCTGGCCACATTCCAGCTGCAAGCGCCAGCAGTGTAACTTGAAACTTTGGAATTTCTTTTAAAATAAAAAATTGCACTGGGCCGCATTACGAGCTGACCTAGGCCGCATGCGGCCCTCGGGCCGCAGGTTGGACAAGCCTGATTTAAACTATACTGGGTTTTCAATCCACAAGAGTGGATCACAAGTGCCTTGATGTTGTTGGTCCATGGTTTGTCTCTGGAATGCAAGCTGGTGAAGCAATCCTACAGCTGTCGTAGAATCATAGAATGGTCGAGCTGGGAAGGATCCCGAGGGTCATCATGTCCAGTTCCCTGCCAGGGCAGGAAATTAGCACCTACCCATCCATCATAGGTGACCGCCCAACCTCTGCTTGGCTATCTCTAGTGAAGGAGAGTCCACTGCCTTCTGAGGGAGTCGATTACGTCAAGTGCCTCGCACTGTTAAGATGTTCTTCCTAAGGTTTAGTCACAATGTTTTTCTCAATGCCAGCTGCTGTTGGCAGAAGGACACTTCGTATGCCCGAAGATGCGGAGGTA